GTGTAGTTAACCATCCTTCTGATTTGTTGCAGGTATGGTGTTAGTAAAGGAGACGAGGCATTCCAAGCTGAGATTTGTGATATATATTGCCGGTGAGTCATGTTTGAAACCGGGAAAAACTTGGGAGATTGTCTTCCTCTTTTCTCTTTACTGTGGAGAATTCTTGAGATAATCTTTGCATCTTATCTTGATTAGGTACGTGACTTCCGTGCTTCCAAGTGAAGGACAGTCTCTTAAAGGGGATGAAGTAGAGAAGATAGTCAAGTTCAAAAAGGCTCTGGGAATAGATGACCCTGATGCAGCCTCTATGCACATGGAGGTGTTTTCTAGATTCTGCTTCCTCTTTTGAATTTACCCCTAGGGTTCTGCAGTTGATTGGGTAGGATCTTGAATGCTGAATCACCAATTCCTTGGTTTTGTTTAGATTGGCCGGAGGATTTTTAGGCAAAGGCTTGAGACTGGGGAACGTGAAGGTGATGCTGAACAGCGTCGGGTGAGTCGCTTGTCTCTAGTATTCGTTTATTTGATTGTAGGTTGGTTCAGGAAGAGAGCACAAGTGTGATCACAAGTTGTATGCTCCCAGTGCAGGCATTTATGAGGCTTGTATATGTTTCAGCTCTTGTGTTTGGAGACGCTGCATCCTTCCTTTTGCCTTGGAAGCGAGTATTGAAGGTCACAGATGCTCAGGTAGGCATTTTCCAATTCTGTCAAAACCAATGATTTTACTCCAATCTTGTAATCTGAAATTCTCTAATGTGTTAACCTCATGTCTAGGTTGAGATTGCTATTCGTGAAAATGCAAAGCAGCTGTATGCCGAACGGTTAAAATTAGTTGGTAGAGGTAATGTTGTTAATGCTTTTCATTTTGAGATGGGATGTTACATTTGTAATATAGAGAAAATTTCATTTAACATTGATAACAGATACGGCTTAGTTCTTCAGCTTAACGCATGAAAACTTACATGATTATGTTTGTAAACTCGTTTTTGCAGATATTAATGTAGAAAACCTTGTGGACCTTAGAAAAGCACAACTAACATTCAAGCTTTCAGATGAGGTACTCTATTTCTTTGCAGCATTGACCTCCTGCTACCTCTGGTTATACTTCTTCTGACAGTGTCTTTTCCCTTGCAGCTTGCTGAAGACCTGTTTAGAGAGCATACAAGAAAAGTAGCCATAGAAAACATCTCATCGGCACTCAGCATACTAAAATCCCGCACACGAGCAGTGTAAAGCATTTATTATATTGGGCATTATTTGCAGAATCATGGCAAAAATTATAATACAAATTAATTTGGTTTACACAATTTTTTCTTTTGGGCATCAATTAGTTTTGACTTTGCATTGGATCATCTAGTAACTCTAGTTTATGTTAGTTTACAATCTATGTCATTTAAATGACCTGATTTTATCCAGGAAGGGTATGGCACCTGTTGTGGAAGAGCTTGAAAAAGTACTGGAGTTTAACAACCTGCTGGTTTCCTTGAAAAGTCATTCGGAGGCAGATCAATTTGCACGCGGGGTTGGCCCTATTTCTTTGTTAGGTGAAGAGGCTTTTAACTTTCTCTTTTCTGAGTGTTAATATAGGTTCTTAAACTTGGATCTCTGTGGCTTAGGTGATGAGTCTGATTTTGAGAGGAGAATGGATGATTTAAAGCTCCTGTATAGAGCATATGTTACAGATGCTTTATCGGGTGGACGCATAGAAGAAAATAAGGTAAACTCAAACCAGTTTTGCAGTTATTATTATTATATAGTAAAGCTTGGTTGCGTGTTCCCATGCTTTTTTTCATTCTGATCCTTTATCTGCTGAGTGGTAGCTCGTGGCAATGAGCCAACTTAGAAACATACTCGGACTGGGAAAACGGGAGGCTGAAGCTATCAGTGTTGATGTTACGTCGAAGGCATACCGTAAACGACTTTCTAACGCTGTTTCTAGTGGTGACCTTGAAGCACAAGACAGTAAAGCAAAATACCTTCAAAAGCTCTGCGAAGAGCTGCACTTTGATGCACAAAAGGCAAGCGCAATCCATGAAGGTATATGCGGACCTTCTGTTCATAAATGAAACCCTGTGCTATTTTGTTATGCATGAGGTATACAATTTGAATTTCCACAATGTCGCCCAAAGATTAGATGGGTCCATGGATTCACTAAAATCTTATCAATTTTGTTGATGGCTTGTAAACCTGCTGGTTCCTTATACTTGCAAGCTAGCTTTTAATGTTCTGCATTTGGTGCTTAACAACATCAACCAAGGCTGGCATTTTCTCGTGGTTACACGCTGCTGTTTTATAGTTTTAATATCTATTGAATTTTTTTTATTCCCGATCATTTGACAAGCACCTTCTCTTCTTCAGAAATCTATCGACAGAAGCTTCAACAATTTGTCACTGATGGAGAGCTGAGCGATGACAACGTTGCTGCTTTATTAAGGTTAAGAGTCATGCTCTGTATTCCTCAGCAAACTGTCGAGGCAGCTCATGCAGAAATCTGTGGAACCATATTTGAAAAAGTAATCCATCCAGCTTATCAGTCTCCTTATTGCAGTATTTTGTCATGGTCTTTGGTCTTGGTACTGCAATTTCAACAGTGTCTTTTAGAAAAGTCTCATGTTAATAGTACATATTTTCCTGTTTTCAATCCGTTTCCATTGACTTAATTTTGACCACATGTCAGCGTGATTGCCTTTGCTTCTTATTGCTGGAAGGTTTGCCTTAAGATACTTATTCGTGACATCTTTTCCAGGTTGTCAGAGATGCTATTTCTTCTGGAGTGGATGGTTATGATGCTGAAACTCGCAAATCAGTTAGAAAGGCTGCACACGGTCTTCGGTTATCCAGAGAAACTGCCATGTCTATTGCTAGCAAGGCTGTGAGTATCACACCATTTACTTTTCGAATGTTTGGTATTAGGATCAGCTTTTTGCCTTTTTCTGACTTCTCATAGCAGGACATGAAAAACAAATCCTTTCATTGATGCAGGTCCGTAGGGTTTTCACAAACTATATCAGACGAGCAAGAGCAGCTGAGAACCGCACTGAGTCAGCAAAGGAGTTAAAGAAGATGATTGCTTTCAACACATTAGTTGTCACTGAACTGGTGGCTGACATAAAGGGAGAATCTACTGATAAGGCACCTGAGGAGCCTGTTCGAGAGAAAGAAGAACATGGTGAAGATGAAGAATGGGGATCCCTTGAATCGCTCAGAAAGACAAGACCCGACAAGGAACTCGCTGAGAAGATGGGAAAGCCTGGCCAGACTGAGATAACTCTCAAAGATGACCTTCCCGACAGGGACAGGATTGATCTCTACAAAACGTACTTGCTCTACTGTCTAACCGGAGAGGTAACAAGAATCCCGTTTGGCGCCCAGATCACAACAAAGAGAGACGATTCAGAGTACTTGCTTCTGAATCAGCTTGGTGGGATTCTTGGACTGACATCGAAAGAAATAGTGAACATTCACATAGGTTTAGCCGAGCAGGCTTTCAGGCAACAAGCTGAAGTGATTTTAGCTGATGGACAATTGACAAAGGCTAGAGTAGAGCAGTTAGACGAGTTGCAGAAAGAAGTTGGGCTGCCTCAGCAACAAGCCGAGAAGGTTATAAAGAATATAACCTCCACAAAAATGGCAAACGCGATAGAAACCGCTGTTAACCAAGGAAGACTGAACATAAAGCAGATACGGGAACTCAAGGAGGCAAACGTCAGTCTTGACAGCATGATCGCTGTGAGTCTGAGAGAGAAACTATTCAAAAAGACAGTGAATGAGATATTCTCATCAGGAACAGGTGAATTTGATGAAATCGAAGTCTATGAGAGAATCCCGTCTGATCTCAGTATTGATGTGGAAAAGGCCAAGAGAGTTGTCCATGATCTAGCTCGGAGTAGATTATCAAACTCGTTGATCCAGTCCGTGGCATTACTCAGACAGAGAAACTCCAAAGGAGTGGTATGCGAATCCTCTTTCCCTCTCTTATCCTGACATAAATTTTCAATATTTTTGAGCGGGTGGTTGTGATTTGCGTATTCTTCTATTGTATTAGGTCTCGTCGCTGAATGATCTGCTTGCATGCGACAAAGCAGTGCCGGCTGAGCCATTGTCATGGGAGGTCTCAGAGGAATTATCCGATCTATATGCTATTTACTCGAAGAGTGAACCCATACCCGCACCCGAAAAAGTGTCGAGGCTACAATATCTGCTGGGAATAGATGATGAGACTGCAACTTCACTCCGTGAGATGGAAGATGGTGCATTATCTTCTGCTGCAGAAGACAACACTTTCGACTTCTAAATGTTTGGAGAAATGGCCTGAGCTTCTTTTTCGGATTGTTTTATGGTTGAGGGAGGAAGATTGATTTCTGGATTTTTAAATTTTACCAAAGCCTGTGAAAATTTTGTATCAGAACCAAACTTGATCTGATTTTAATAATTTGAATATCTGCAAAGAAGAAATGAACTATGTATAATTTCCTCAAACCAAGCCTTTCACTAGAATTATAGCACAAATTCGAAACACTTTTTATCATTTAGCTACAAGAAGAAGTCAAATTTATTTTTATGAACCGATAGAAATGAATTGGAGTTTTTATCATTTAGCTGAGAATTTCAATTTGGCACTTGAACGTATGGAGATTTGCAGACCAGAATATACTGAAGATGTATCAAGTTGATAGAGGTGCCATTTACTAGTTTGTTTCTCTATGGTGCAAACATAATGTTGAACAAACAATTAAAACCAAATAATAATGTTGAACAAAAACATATATCATTCTTTTACATTTTTTAGTATTTAAGCCTAAGTATAGACTCTTGGCTCCATGTCCTCTGCCTTCATTCCAGTTTCCTCTGTAATTTAGTGACCCATTTTTAGGTCACTTTCTTGATTTCCATTCTTGCCAAGGATACACATACCTTCACTAGCATGTAAATTGGTCCAGTTTGTCTCTGTTTTCGATGAATTCAAAGCAGATTCTGCGAGAAATACCAGAGTGTACAAGTGCATGTGTATAGCTGAAACTCAATAGAACTTTAATAAGTAAACCAAAGAATGATAAGTCCTGAAAGTCTCAGTTAAATCCAATCAAGTCAAAGAAATTGCAGTTTCTGCCAAGAGGTTGGGTTCTCCCTGTAAACAGGGTCTTAGGTCCACTGC